AAAATATCTGCTTCGCTTTTTGTGGACGTAAACACATCGTCGAACCACGTTAAATACTTGTATTGATTTCTCTATTATTTTGTGTTTAACATCCAACAAAGATAAAATTTTACATTTATAAATTTATCAAAAGGGTACTTAATAGTTGTTAATGTATTAGTCGTCATCACTATCTTTCAAGACTTAATTCTTCAAACGATAGCTTTCCATCCGTACATTACCCTCTCTGATCATTACTAAACCTTCAATTTTTCAACTATTCACGAAAAGAAACAACTAGTAAGAGATTAATTCACGTGAATGACTGCTTCAAATTTTGCTTAAATACCGTGGTTGTATTGTAATGATTTTCAGAATTTACCCTATGATGCAGTAGGGTTGAACAATGAAATCATCAAACTGTAAAATAGAATCGAAGCACTTTTTTGAAATCGTTGGTTTGAGTCCACGTGGATCTGTCAACATTTTGGTTTTGAACCGAACCAAACCGCTTTAAAGTGGTTTGATTTATGTTTCAATATTTGTAAATTGTTTCAAACGGTCAAATCGTTTACAAAAAAATTCTGAAAAAAAATTAATTTAAATTTTATGTTACTCCATATTAAACATAACACAATTAAATTCAATACATAAATAGACAATTATTCATCACAATTAATTAATTAAACATGAACCAAAATACCCATCAGACATCATAACTGTGAAAGCGAAATTCTCAAATTGGGTGAAGTGTTGAACAATTGTCGTTGAACCGATTTATCGACCGTCCATTATAATTGAGTAGACAATTAAATCTAGATATTAATTCAAACTTACACATTTCTTTTCCTTCTACTAATACTTTTCTCAAATTACTAAATATCTAGGTTAGATTATTCAAATTTTCTCATTTTTGGTAATTGTCTGCTATATTTTATTAGTAATTGTATTGTTTTGTTCTAATTTTGTATTAAACTCCCTTAAATTTTTAGTGGACAACAATTTTTGTTTATTTGTGTCTCAATTTTCTGGTCAAGTCACTCAATTAATTATTTATATTTTTAACTTATTTTATTTATTATTGATTCGTAGAATGATTTGGTGGATTACTTAAATGGTTGTTTTGAAAATTTGACCAACGGGTCTTTTGACACGTTACTTTATTAGAATTGAAAGCAAATAAATATAAGATTGTCCCTCCAAATTACTTTGACGGTTTTTTTTATTTCTTTAGAAGTTTGTTGAGTGCAAATATGGTTGAAGCTGTGATTTGCTCTAAAAATTGATTGCATAGTAATGAGAACCTATATTGATTCGTTAATATTTGGACAAAGTAGAAGCATTAAATTATTAACAAAAAATTATAGAAGGTACTAATGTATTTGATCTCTATATTCATTTTCTTTTATTAGTTGATTTATATCATTTAACTATAATCAATGAATTGTACTATATTCATATCTTTATAGTTAAAATGTTTCTCTAATGTTGTTGTATTATAGGGATTAGAATTATATAACTTTGATTTGTAACGTTTTTAATGGTACTATTTATGTTTTAACGTGAAATTTCTGACTCACATTTATGATTTAACTTATTCAATATACTATTTTTGTTTGTTTGTTAAACCGTGGTTTTAAATTGAATCAAACCCAAAAAGTGGTTTGGATTGATTTGATTTAAAAATTTGAAGTGGTTTGATTTTGTTTGGAAAAATTTCAAACCGTTTTAAGTTATTTAATTTGAAGATTTTTCACAAACCAAACCATGTTCACCCTTATGATGTAGTTTACAATTTCTGAAATTTATTATATGTTTTGCACGTTCTATCCATATATTTTGTATGATTCATAAGTATTATCTATTTGTCCACTACTTATTTCTATCTATTTATAAACATAATTACGATATTATTTTTCATACACCATATAATCTCATGTTGGTTAATGTAATTTCCAATTCTTGATCTTGAATATATGGACAAAGTTTGATGGGTTTTAATAGAAACGTATGCCACACTACGAACTTTTCGGGTTGGGCCAAATAGAATTCACCGTACACTAATAGTTTGTTGTCGTAGTGTTCAAAGAACATAAAGACATCTTCATCTAGTGATAGTAACATTGCTTATAATGTTAATATTGAATATACATTAACAACGTTATTTAGTCATTGTTACTCAATGTCACCTTCTACTTCAATTATCCATGATTATATTAATGTATTAAGGTTAACTTGTTTGATACCTTGTAATGCTAATATTGAGTATACATTAAGAATGTTATTTAGTCATTGCTAATATTGATTCTCCAACTCATTTACAAAGTTCTACTTAGGAAGTCATGCACTACAATCCCAATGAGACGTGGTCAACATAGGTTGTAATCTCGTTAGGTTTTTATGGAAGACTTCCCATGGAATCTTTGGTGTTGGTTGTTGTCCATATAATGAGGACTCTCATAGCTCATATTCTTTGGCAGCTGAAGGTACTGAAAGTTGTAGTCCTGAATGCTCCATTACCTTGCAGATTGATCAAAAATATACGAAAAGATGACAATGTGTCAATTTTCTACATACTTGGTTTATTAATTCGTCTCGACATGACTTTCAGTAACTGATCTAAGTAATGTGCATTGTACAAAGTTCATGACGCAGAACGCGTAGCTTCCATACTTGTTTGTTTTTTGTTTCTTTGGGAATCATCTCTTGAATAAAGAATCATATAATAATAAGAAGAGATCTTTCTCGATCAATCTCTTTACCCCTCATTTTTTGAGAATCAGTAAGATCAAGCACGATGCAATGTCTTGATCACATTGGTTTACCCTTGTTTTTAGAGGACTAATAGATGTTCCTACTCAGGGGCGGACGCAAAACTTTAAAGTTGGGGGCACAATCGAACCTGTAAAGAAATTGGGAGAAATTTTACAATAGAAAATTTACGTTCAAAAAAATCATACCCCATAAAATTTTGCATCCGAAAATTTGAATGGGATATGACTTTTTCAAATGTAAAATTTATCATATTCTATATAAAATTTCCTAATAAAAGGATGAAAATTATATTGAGAAATTTATATTACAAAAATAATAAATGTCAATGAAATAATTGAATTTTTTTAAAGAAAATGCAAGTTAGAAACATTTCTTTAAAACTCATGTTTAACGCATTTTTAACTAATTTCGATATCTGTTTGGATTATTCGATATGCCTATAATGCAGTTCGTAAATTCGATTAGCGTACGACCATCGAAATTTTTTTAAAGTTAGCATGTTATCGAAATTTTTGAAATACTAATTTTGAACGGCTTATTTTAAAAAGTCGTAGCATTTACTATGATTGATCGTTTCGTACGCCATTAATGACGTAGAAAATTGACAGTGAACACTTCGTAATTGTATTAAAAATGCAATATTTCGCCCTTATTTGATGGAAATTTAAGATTTTGTTAAAATGTGAGGAAAAAGAGAAAAATTAAAATTTATTGTGATTTTGCCTCTATTTGATGGAGATTAAAATCAAAATTTTAGTAAATTTTGATAAAAGTAATAGTTATGAATTTCGCAGCTGTCGATATAGTTAAGAAGGCCCTTCCATTTAACTGCGATATACAATAAAATTCATAACTATTACTTTTATCAAAATTTACTAAAAATAATTTACTAACAAAATTACTTATAAGTCAACCTACGAGATGGAGACAGAAAGAAAATAGGGCACTAGGATGACCCACCATTCACTAGCTAGTATTGCTCGTTGTGATTCACCTGCCCGTGGACTCACTTTGAATTGACATGGATGCTGTGAAGCCCCTATGGCCCTACCCCCTTCAAAATAAAGTCGCGTTTGGCTAAGCTTAAAGTGGTTTCTCATCAGCTTTTACCGATCGAAAAATCATTCTTAACTCTGTTTGGTACATATTTTTTTTATCACGCATTATTATAATAAATAACTTTTGCACGTTGACCCATATTTTTCGTTTACTTTTTAACTATACATTAAAAAAAAAAAAAAAGTATTCACTTTTCACATTATTGTAATAAAAATATGCTTATTTCTACCTTCACACGTATCAAATTTAATTAATATAGTTAAAAATATAATTTTTTTCTTAGAGTAATGTTATTTAACACTACTATTTTTTAACACCGATATATGTGACATAATTAGTGACATCAAATTACAGGTTTAATTAAATGAATAATATAATTTTACTTTTAAATGAACATATTACATAATGTCACATAAATTGGTGGTGTTAGATAATATTATTATTTTGAAAGCGTTATTCAGCTCTATTGCTGTTTAACATTGTTTAAGTGACAATATTAGTGATATTAAATTATAGATTCAATTAAATAAATCATATAATTTTACCTTTAATTGAACTTATCACATGATGCTCTAGTACTACTGAAGCTAAATAACATTGCAAGGTACATTAAAAATGAACATTAACACAAAAATATTTATGCCTTTAATAAGAAAAGTGACCTGTAATTTATGACAGATTAAAAAAAAAAAATCAAATTTATCTTTATGAAACGAGAATGAAATCAATTATTGATGATAAAATGAGAGGAAGTTCGACAAATTCCCCTAAAGACCTTTTCAAAAACATTTGCACTTTTTCAAACACCTGAAAAATGGAGTTTGTTTAAGATCAATTATGTCACTTGTACAAAGGTGTTTTATTGACAAAATGACGTGACAAAATCGAGGTCATTCATTTCAAAAAATTGTTTTTAAAATCATTGGTCAAAATATTGTCAACACGTATTTTGTAAACCAATGTTGTAACTTAGCCCCTGTTTGCCCCCCAAGGGGGGTAGATAATTTTTAGAATAGTGATTGATGGGAGATGTGTGGTTGAAAAGTTTTTGATTTGTGTGTATTATTATTTTATTTGATGAATGGATGGTTGAGATGAAGAGAGAGAAAAAATTAATGTAATGGAATGTGATATAATGGAGAGCAAACAAGGGCTTAACTTTGTACCAGTAGCATGACTAGTCTAATATGGGGCAGCCCCCAAAAAGTCGTTACCAGTCGAGACGTGGTGATTTACGCAAAGCGTTTACCAAAGTACACCGACTGTCTAGCTCAACGGCTGAGATTGGCTTCTTTCTTCTTCTAGCTTATAAACCTATTTTACACAACCAGATTGACCAGAGCTCCCTCCTCTTCTCCTTTCTTTTGTGCGTCCCACCAGGGTTCTATTCCTCCAAGGTACATAAAATTATCGGTACTTTTTTTTTTTTGTCTCAAAGTTCAGTTCAGTTTAATTTTTTTTTTTTTAAAATTTAAATTATAATTTTCTTGGATTTTATTGAAAATAATAGAGATGTTGTGAGCTGAAGTTGGTGAAAATGGTTTATTCTTGCTTCAATGTGTAAAATTTACTTCACTTTTTGAATCTTTTGTCACAGTGGAAACTTCTTCACTGTACACCAATCTGTTAACCCTCAAATTATTGAGCTTTTCCTATTGAAAATTATAGCTTATGTGGTGGATTTTATGCAATGATAAACTTTTAACTAAGAATTCTGTGTTGGTATTGTCTAGTAGATTGAAATGGACCCACGTTTCCGTGGAATTTCAAGTTCTTCTAAAGGAATTCCATTGGGAAATCAATCCATGATTGAGTTTTCCAATGGGAAACTAGTGAATGGATCAAAATTTGAGATGCATTATCCAGATCAGAGATTAGTGGATGAACAAAGATTTCTCAATAACTTCCAAGAACACGATTTTGAAGGTGTTCAATTGCTTCCAAATGAGCCCTTTTTGAATAATACAGCCACTAGTTCTTTTGTGGGTATTGAGGATGATTATCAAGAAGATTGTGATTTATCGGATGCGATTTTGAGATATATAAATCAGACCCTAATGGAAGAAGACATGGAAGACAAGACACATATGCTTCAAGAGTCATTGGATCTTCAAGCCAAAGAGAAATCATTTTATGACGTCCTTGGCAAAAAGTATCCTCCTTCTCCAGAACAAAGCCTACCTTCTATTGGTCAATATGGAGAGAGAATTGATTATTACTCTTCTGGAATTCACTTGAATTCCACTAGTAGCAGTAGTGATGCTAGTGGTTATCTAATTGATTCAGTTGATCCAAGGCGGATTAATGGCTTCTCGGACTCTCCTATTAGTTCTCTTCAAGTACCTGATATATACAGTGAAAGTCAATCTTTTTGGAACTTCACGAAGGGGGTTGAAGAAGGGAGTAAGTTCCTTCCAAATCGTAATAAATTGTTAGATTATGGGTTGCCATTTCAGGAACCAAGAGGAGAATGTGATAATGAGGCAACTAAGGTGGAAAAGAAAGATGAAGCAGAATGCTCGACATCTGAATCGAGGAGAAAGAAAAATCCTCATAAACGGGATACGGATTTAGAAGAAGAGAGAATTAGCAAGCAACCATCTATCTATACGGAATCAAACATCCCCCAAGAGGAATTCAGTATTGTTTTGCTTCATAGCATGGGTGAAGGTGAAAAGAAGTTGGCGGCCTACAGAGCAGACCTTCGGAATGCTACAAGCAAGAGTGTGCAGCAGTCCAGGCAAACAAAAGGATCAAGGGGTAAGGGGCGAGGAAAGAAGCAGAATAAAAAGAAGGAAGTGATAGATTTGAGAACCCTTTTAATTAACTGTGCACAAGCTGTGGCTGCTGACGATCGTCAAAGTGCTAATGAACTGTTGCAACAAATTAGGCAGCATTCTTCTCCATGTGGTGATGGAAATCAGAGACTATCTTATTATTTTGCTGACGGCCTTGAAGCACGTTTGGCTGGCACTGGTAGCCGGATACATAAGGCTCTTGTCAGTAAAAGAACAACTGCAGCTGATTACTTAAAAGCTCATCACTTATATCTTGCCTCATCTCCATTTGGGAAGATTTCTAATTTTGCCTCGAACAAGACAATTCAGCTGAAGGCAGTAAATGCAACAAGAGTTCACGTCATAGATTTTGGTATCCTCTATGGTTTCCAGTGGCCTACGTTTCTTCAACGTATTGCAAAAAGGAAAAATGGTCCTCCAAGAGTTCGGATTACTGGCATAGAATTTCCACAACCTGGATTCAAACCTGCAGAAAGAATTGAAGAGACGGGGCGTCGGTTGGCTTATTATGCTGAAAATTTTAACATTCCATTTGAGTACAATGCTATAGCACAGAGGTGGGAAACCATCAAAATGGAGGATCTTAAGATTGAAGATGGTGAATTTCTCATTGTCAACTGTCTCTACCGAACCAAGAACTTACTTGATGAAACAGTTGTGGCAGAGAGTTCAAGAACTCTTGTTCTTAACATGTTTAGGAACATAAATCCAGATATTTTCATTCATGGAATTGTCAATGGGGCGTATAGTGCTCCATTCTTTGTCACCCGATTCCGGGAAGTTATGTTCCATTTTTCTGCACTATTTGATATGCTTGAAGTGAATGTACCACGTGAAAAACCAGAAAGACTATTAATTGAGAGAGATATCTTTGGGAGGGAAGCATTGAATGTCATAGCTTGTGAGGGCTGGGAGCGTGTTGAACGGCCTGAGACGTATAAGCAGTGGCAGGTTCGTGTCATGAAGGCAGGCTTCTCCCAAATCCCTTTTGAGAGGGAGGTAATGGCCACGGCAACATATAAGGTGAGATCTGGTTACCACAAAGATTTTGTAATCGATGAAGACGGTCAGTGGCTGTTGTTGGGATGGAAAGGTCGGACAATCTATGCCTTGTCTTGTTGGAAACCATTTTAAGACATAAAAAACATTGTTCTAATGGCAATCTATCCATCCACTGTACATGTTTGTTGCATCAACTTTCTTACTGTTGTCTCACTTAGATAATGGATTTTCAGGCATTACAATTCACTGGTTGATGATATTGATCATTGACTGCTCGCAAATGTTAAGAATTTTGTTGTTTTGTTGATGATTTCCCTAGCTGAAGTAGAAGATTTACCACACTATCCCTCTCTGTAATTTGATTCAATCTTGAGAAGTTCTATAGATCAATAAAATGCCGTGAACTGCAAATCTGATTTATTTGCAGCACTTTTTTGGCCGATAGTTGTTTCATTCTCGTGTAAATGAATTGCAAAAGGCTGTTATTTGATACGTCTCTCCACCCCAGGTGCCTCATTCGATAGTTTCGAGTGCTTGATATGGCTGGTGAAGTTTGAGTATTCAATTTTATGATTTAAGTTCATGCTAATTACATGTATTAGACACATCTAACCGTGTAAGAAACAAGATTTTGACTTCCTTGATGCTGCCTAGTGCTATGCAATTCTTTGAATTGGTTGTTGGAGGGCGATTTTACTTCTCGTTATATTTCTTTATCTTCCAGAATCATTTGTGAGTCGAAAACAAGGGACAATTTTGGGGTTCTGAGAAACTGTTTTGGCACGTCGAACGTAACCCCGGTAAATTTTCAAGCATCCAGGATTACACTATAACAGTCCCAAAGCATTAGAAATGCTGGTAATTTTGCTTCAGTTTAATAGTCCCCTTTGATGGTAGAATTAGGCTCAATTCTGAGGACTCCGATTCTAATTTAAATTTGTCACACTGCACTAATTTTGTGCATAGAGGTTGTGGAATTACACTAACGTGAATCAGATGAATGCCCCAAAAGTCAGAATGCACTCATCACATCAGCTAATATCTGGTAGTTTAGTTGGATGCTGTTCTTTTGGCTGATTATCTGGCTTAAAAGTACAAAAATCTGATGCAAAAAATGGTGGTCCCCCATTTAGCTCCTTCCTCGCAGGTTCCTAAAAGAACATGGGGTTTCTAAAAAAATCATGTCAAGGCTATTGAATTTTTGTGGGACTTTGCTATGTGTACAGCCTTTTTGTACAGCAAATTACACAGCCCACACATATGGGGGTGGGGCTCACATTTTTGTGGGGCTCACATTTTTGTGGGCCCCACCCCATGTGTGTGGGCTGTGAAATTCATTGTACAA